AGGGGGGGTGTGTGGGGGTGGGGCAGCTTCCTTCTGCCTTTCCCGGCTCGAATGACCTTTTCTAAAACTGTAGTAGGCAGACCATCCATTAACTCTCAGGGAATCCCGTCTCGTTCCCTCAGTCCACAAGAGGTTTCTCTTTGCTCTTAAAACTTGTGGAGGGGAAAGGGACAGATTTTCCTGCTTTTCAATTCTGTGTAAGGAGGGCTTAGGTTTACCCGTTCCCCTGATAAGGCCCATTCTCCGGCCATAATTTATTAAGTCCTGAGATATCTCTTCCCAAGTTATGGGCTCTCCCCCCTGCCCGTCTCCCCCCTTGTGAGGCTAATGCATTCCACAAACGATCTTGTAATTGTACTGCATGTGATTTCAGAGAGTCTGGTAAGCCCCGAATCAGGGGAGTAATTTGATCGGGATTAGCAATTAATAGCAACGGGGCAGGCTGCTGATTTTGCCAGACTTGTAAATTCCTGTTCACGATCCAGAACAGAGTAAAGATCTGTCCAGTTGCAGGTTTCCTGTTCATTCATCCCTTTTTCAGACCGTGAGATGATTTTTTTTTTTTTTCCCAGTCTAAGGCATCTAAGAGCTGTTCTTTTTGCCTCTTGATCAGCAACATTATTCCCTCATATTAGAGGGTTTAGCCTCCTCTGGTGTACATAAATGTTTAAAGTTTGGCAGACCCACTCTTCAAAGGACCCCAAACCAGGCCAATAGAGATGGTCGCTTCTAATTTGTTTAACTTCTCAAACCTCTATACAATAATAAATCATGTTTACTCTGTTCTTACCCTGCCTAGAAGGGGTAATTTTCCCAGTCATTTAACATCAATCCTAAAGGGCTATCCGGTGGCATCTGAGGGTACCTCACCTGAGTTCCCACACCACCCATGGGATCAGAAGGCTTGCTCGTCTTGTGTCCCATCTTCTGGAGCGTCTGCACACACTCACACAATTTACTCCCCCTTTTCGTGGCCCAGTCCCTCATGGGATATGGGAACTGTACTACCAAGGGGTCCGCACTGACTTAGCCCTACCGGGCGTCTCACAAACCACGCTCCAGACAACCCAACCCCAACCGAACAGGAAACCGGCCTATAGTCACGCAACCCTGTGCGTCTTCGTCCGGGATTTTGTGCACAAAGTTCATGGGGTTGATCAGTGTTATTTTGCTTCTTGCCGAATTTTAGGGTTCATCGGTCGGGGCTCCAGCAGACCAATCCACAGGCGGAAGTCACTGAAATCCAGCGGGGCTCCTCCCCCGTATGGGAATCTGCTGGGAAACCGTGATCCGAGTCACAGCACCAATTTGTTATAAACTGACTTAAAATTGGCTGAGTCAGAGTTCCCAATTTCTTTATTTAGCAAGCGGCAACAAGCAAAACAGCGCTGGGTGGCCAGGGAGTCTCCTGCTCCAACAACGGACCGCACCCTCCAGGGCGCTCTGTTTCAATCTTATACTACAAAGTATTACATAGTCATTATATACCTATACATATTAATTACTTGAACCCACCTACTCCTGCTTTGTATTGTAATTAGTTTATCAGTCCTTTACACTTGTGCAGAAGTTGTTAAATCTATGGTCAGGGGTCTTCAAATCTTGGGGGGGTGTGGCCGTAGGTGCTCCTCACTGTGTAGCTTGGAATGTGATGATCCTTTGGGTTTGCAGTGTTGTTCTTATCAGTCTAGGCCCAGTAATCAATTTGCATAATGAGATTCATGGTTGTGAATATCCTCCTGTTTTATTCAATTATGCACCTGCAAATCTCCACATATTCTGACCTACAGATGCTTCTTCTCTTGTTGTCCGTCCCCCCCCATAAATTTTTTTTTACAATATCATGTTAGTGCAATTAAGCATTTGCTGTTAGTATTACACAATATGCAATAGTTCATATTACAGTTTGCTGAATTTGATGAACAGACGGTTTACCACCTATCACAAGAACAAAGATATTCAGAGTTGGAAAAGTGGTTTTTAGTCTGTGCAGTTAAACAAGTTGAGAAAATTCATCAAGAACAAGCTGTTCAGACCAGAGTTCCCTTTAATTTATTGGAGACAATCCTAAAAGGGACTGCTCCCCCAGAGGGAATTGCACAAAACCCTACAATTAGGAAATGGTATGCCTATCTAGTGGGCGTGGCAGATGAAATGCAATTAACTGAAGGACACACAAAAGTTTTTAAATTACAAATGCCTGTTAATACTGACCTGCTAGCATTACAACAACCATTTAACCCTTCACCAATTTTAGATGCACCCCCCTTCACTGAAGATTCACCAACAGAGGGTGTCTGGTTTACTGATGCCTCAGCAAAAGGAGTGGATAGTAAATGGCAATATAAAGCTGTTGCATTGGAAAACAGGCAAACAAGTTATTGAAGAGGGTGAAGGCAGTGCTCAAGTAGGAGAGTTGAGCAGTTGTTTTGGCAGCACAAAATGAAGCAAAACTCATTTATGTAGACTCTTATGCTGTCTGGGTAGTTGCCACACAGTGGCTTTGTCAGTGGGAAGCCCTAAATTGGGAGATAAACAAATCACCAATCTGGAGGACTGCAGACTCCAAATAGGATGGGTAAAAGCTCATGCTAATGACAATAAACGAGCTACAAATTGGAACCAAAGGGTGGATGAATTGACAAAAATTAGGAAAATAGACATTGAAAATTCCTCAAACACCACATGGTATCGATTAGGAGAATAGTTACATCAAAAATTAGGCCACACAGGTCGAGAAGCACTTTACTTTTCAGCTCCAAGCTGGGGATGGCCCCTCAGAAGAAAAACATGTGAAACCATCCTCACTGAGTGTCCCCAGTGTAAATTAAAATTGCAGATGGACCATCCTGCCAAAGCACCACCTTTACACATTAAAGAGGGGAAAACTTTGTGGTCCACTTGGCAAATTGATTACATTGGTCCTTTAAAATCCTCTGCTGGGTACAAATATATTTTAACAGGTGTAGAGATAATATCTGGACTTCTTGCAGCTACCAAGTGCCAAAAGGCTAATGGACAGAATACTATTCGAGGCCTTTCCTCATGGTTCTCCATTTTACCCGTCCCTGATTCAATCCAGAGTGACAATGGCTCGCACTTTACCAGTAAAGAAGTACAAGAATGGGCAAAGCAAAGAGAAATAAAGTGGGTATTTCATACACCTTATTACCCACAATCCAATGGTATAGTTGAGTGAGCCAAAGGACTGCTAAAACAATATCTTAAACCACATGAAGGACAATGGGATAGCCGTCTTTCTGAAATTACACAGCAGTTAAATAATCTGTATGGTCCCTATGGAAGTCCAATTACTCGAGCCTTCTTAACACCTTCTTCAGAAAAAACCCTGAACAATGAGCACACCTGCTCCTCAATGAAAGCAGGACAGCCTGTGGTGGCAAAAATACCAACTGTAGGAACAATACCAGTAACCCTGGTCAAGCCACGAGGACTTCTAGCATGGGATGCTATTGATAATAATGGAATAAAACATAAAATCAGTACTAGATGGATTTATCCAGCATCCTAAGGGGTAACCTGAAGTGCTAAGGCTTGGACAATAGGCCCAAGTCAGAACTGATCTATAGATGAATTCTGTATATTTTATAACTGATAACCAACATGCTAACAGGTATTATACTAAGTTATAATAAACCACCTATCCTGATGTAAAGGGTGGAAGTGTTGAAGCCTGAGCAACAGGCCCTGAAACAAAACTGTTAACTTAGAATGTAACCCTTAATGACATATGCATAGAGGATGTCTTGAATGTATCTTTCCTTCCCTTTGTATGTGAATAGAACAACAGAGTCATGGAGGCAGGTGTCTGTCACAGAGACCTGATGTGAGACCTTGCGCATAATCCAATCAGATAAGCAGAGAAACTCCTTTGGCTTCTTCTTTGAGCCCTGGCCAGGCTCTGGGGGGAACCTAATGTGAAATTGAAACCAGATATTTCCGCCTGGGTATACAAGGCTGGATCTGCTCACAGCGACTTTGGAAGCCTCACCTATGGGTGGACGCTCCACGTAGGACTTCCCATTTGCAGGGAAAGGCTCTCCAAATCCTCACTACAACTGGGGCTACTCAGCAACTGCAGATCTGGATGATAGTAAAGTATGCAAGTGGTGATGGATCTTTCTTAAACACTATTCTCTCCCCGGTAGTAGCAATTTGATGCATTACCCTGTATGTTCCTAATTGTTTAAATGCATTATTCTGTATTATCATATATTTTCTATATTATTCTGTTACATTATTATTTCGAGTAGATACACCTACTCTTTCACTCTGGTGTCTGAGTCTAATTGATATCCCTAATCAACAAAGCATAACCTGTTCAGCTTTTCTTTCCTTTTCAGAAATAACCAACTCCACCAACGACATTGCAGAAACAAACACCACATCCAGCAAGCCTATCAGCAGCACTGTGGAAACAACCATCATCTTGAATATAAGAACCTCGGCAGCATTGTGCCTACCCATTTACATGCTATATGGTGAGTTGCAACCTACACCTATTGGGATGAGCCTAACCATCATTGAGCAGCTTCTCCAACATCCTGACCTAATTGACCTCCTTCAACAAGCACAGAGAACTGGACAAAAGACTCTTATCACAGTCCAGCATGATATAGAAGAAATACATCAGCTGCTAACAAGAGTCAAAAGGGATGGAGAACATCAGTGGTGGGAAAGCTTATTTGGATGGTCACCAACCACAACAGGACTGTTTAATTCCATGTTCCACCTGGTCATGATTTTCTGAATTCTAATTTTAATATGTTTACTGTTCATAATTGTGTTGTATATTGAGGTTTGGAGGATGGTTAAACAAATTGCTGAGTTACAAAAGTATCCCTGTGTGTATACTATCCCAAAATATTTTTTTTTCCTGAAGCTAATCAAACACAAAATTTCCTTCAATTATAACAGATTATGGCATCCTCTGTTTATAGGCATAGAGGCAAGAGGCAACCACACTGCCACTCTATGGACAAGATAAATTTACTTTAGTCACGGGGTGGATTGTGGTGGTGCAATTCTTACACCTCCCTGCCCCCCTTGTTGGGCTACTTGGTGCCAGGTGTGGTTTCATCCACATTTCCCCCAAGCCATACACCAATCTGTGGAGATAAGGACTGATAACCTTGATGAGCCTGGCTCCTGCCCCCCAAAATTGCTTGGAAAGGGTTATAATGGCCCATTATCTCCTGATGGCCTGACACACCTATGCCTGGGATGTGATCAGATGGAAAAATAACAGGGTTGCATATTCAAATTCTTGTGCAACTGCTCGAAGGCACCAGATAGTATTTGACAAAAATCAATTATCTTGGATCCTATAAACTGCGACCACCAGAGAGACCCTTTGAGCTCTCCTGGATTGCAGCGGGCCTGTGACCAGCATCTCCCCTGAGCTGGGACGCCTCTCAGGTGTCATCTGCTCCAGACAGAAGGCCAGGGTGAAGTCCCCCCGCTCGAGTCTCAATTATTGCCCGTTGAGGAATGCCAAGGCATTGTGAGTATTTGCTCTAAACTTCAGAGGGAATTTTTCTTTGAGCTAGCTTCTATTTCACCTGTTTACTGGTGTGTGTGTGGGTACATACCCTTGTCCTTGTTCCTGTGTGTTTGTCCCTTTTGTGTTCATTTTACCGAATCCAAATACCTTTGTTTCTGTATGTATATGTCTGTTTTGTGTATGCACGTGTACATATGTGTCTAAATTAAGGTACCATTAAGTTAGAGTGAATATTGTCATTTTAGAACCTGAATAAGTCACTTTTCTTTGAGTTATTTTGTACTGACAAATAGTTGTTAGTTATTAATAAATCTAGGTTATTTTTACTAAATCATTACCGTGTCAATACTTTCCTCCACGACACACACAATTTGAAAACACTATAAAATTGAAATATTTTGCTGCTGAGGCAGATACTTAAGCAAGTTGTATCTGTACTTTCAATTTACATTTTTGTGTGCCATTTTACCACCTAACTGGCTACCCTCAAAACTAGCCTGTGCAAGTAAACACTGCATTGGTCTCCACTGTTATGTTTTGCTCTTTTTCCTGCATTTATACAAATACACCCAAAGTCATTGCTACACAGAAGCCCTTCTAGAAGAGTCAGGAATTTTAGGTAAAGTCCCTTCTCTGCATCAGAGAGGCTTATTTGATATAGGTGTCCTGACACATTACCAGGCAAATTTATCACACATGATGTGTACTCAAAAGCTTGGTTTGGGGCTTTTGATATTGATTCTTCAGGGTCTGAAATTTTAGGAAGAAGATTGAGAACAGAAGTGATGGTTTTCTGTTATTTTAATATATATCTGCAGGTAAGGCTTTATCTTCAGACTTCCTTCTATTATTAGGTAAAGGAAGTAGAAGTGAGATTGGGTGTGCCATTAGTTGGCCACATGTTTGTAAAACAGATAAATGGGCAACCACTCTTTCTGATAGGAATTGCACCCTTCCCATCACTCTGTAATCTGCTCCCATGCTTCAGGCAAACTGAAAATATGACACAGGTAATTTATTTCCTTTTGCCTTCACTGGCTGATAACAGGCTGAACTGACTACACCTGTGTTATTCCTGCTGCCCTCTGAATTACACTTGTACCTGTAAGAAGAGTTTGTGCCTTATTTTCTGGAAAATATCAGCCACTTTACCAATTTGTCTCTTCAAGAAAGCTTTTCTAGTCCCAAACATTTCAGTGTGATTATAAGACATGCTCCTATTTCTCTCCTGTTTCCTTGTTTGCAATGCACAAATGGTGACCTCACATGCACCAGAACGAACAGATTTCTTAGTCATCTTACCTACAATTTCTAAGACATTTGCTCAGTAATATTTACTAAATGTAGGCTAGCTAGATCCCTTTATCAGGATAAAAGCCTCATCTCTGATCTTTAATCTGAGTTCCCCTTTTTACCAAGTAATATAGAAAAAGCTGCTTGTGTAGGAGGACCACTCCAATTCTCTTTTTCCCCCTGGAAGCTCTGCTGCATGAGTTTACTGCAAAGGCTAGAGTTTCAGTGCGTGTGAGTGTTGATCCTGGAAGACATGCATGTTGCCACACATTTGTCAGTAATGACAACACATTGCTTGCTTCCATTCCCTCACCTGACCCACGTGGCCCAGACTGCTGAGAGTGCAGCCCTGCTTCTTGGCTCAAATGGCACCAACAAACCAACCACCACACTGAGCAGAAAAGCACCCACATGGAAGGAAATCTCAGGCCCAAGAGATATGGGTGCTGCCCACCCTGGCACTGTGACTGCTGCTCTACCATGCTGAGGGAGACCACAGAGGCTGTAAAGGCTAGAAATTTGGTAGAGCCTTCAGTTATTCCTGTGTACCTTGGGCTAAGATCACAGTGGGATGTAATACAAGGGGTCAAATTTTTAAATACTTCCATTTCATGGAGAAGCTCATAAGAGAAGATGCAGCCCTTGACTTGGACCTGAGCAGTGCACAGTACTTATAGAAGCCAGATATCCATTATGGGTATGCTCTGCTTCAGAAAAGGGAACTGTATAAAGATGAGGAAAAGCATTTTAAAAAACATTAAAAGGAGCAACTACAAGAATTAAGTTCTTACAAGCTGGATAAAGGTTGTTGATGGATGATGTATTGGTGGCACAGTGCCAGTATGTACCACCTTTTGAGAAAGGCTTGAAGAAAGGGCAAAATGTAGCCAGCTTCATTAGGCAGCAGAGCAAGGGAAGGCATTAGAAAGAAGTTCAAAAAGCTGAAGCCATGTCCAAAGGGAATATAGAAAGGATCACAAAAATTATCCAAACTAATGATAATTTTAATATATTTTTAAAATGTCATTAAGAGAAGAAAACTTGTCAGAGATTCTGCAGGAGCAGCTGAGGACTGGGCTGCCAAAGGTCTTACCTACCTGGATTGCAACCTTGCTTGTTTTCACACTAGGAAGAAATTTATCTCACCTAACTCTGTTGTCCTAAAACACAGATGTCTAGACTGCCTTTCAGGACAGTGGGGGAGAGCGATGCATTTCCTGACCACATGACTCCTTTAAGAGCTGTCAAAGCTGGGCAAGCACATCCCTCCCATGCCTCTGTATTCATGCAGGCCAGCAAGAACTGTGCACGCATCAGAAGGAGGGAGTAATAGTGCATCTCTGGAGACACTCTTCAGTGGTGCTGGAAAATAACATTTACAGACCTTTTCGAAGTATGAAAGCCAGATCCTCAGCTCATATCTACTCACATCCACTTGCAAGGGCTACAGAAGCTTGCAGGTACTGAGTTCTCCTAAGGATTAAGCAGTCAACAGAGGCAGTGTGTCGTCATCATAAAAAAAAAAAGCTACCATAGTCTTATTGTAGCACCTTTACTATTACCATCCTTACTCTCATTGCAAAGTCAAATTTTCTCCCTATCATCCCTACACCATGACTGGTGTAGAACCCACTAGCTGCCTCTCATCCAATGCCTCATCAGGCATTTTAAACTACAAATGAACCTTGGACAGTTACTCAACAAGAGCAAAACTTCTTAAGGGAGCTTTCCCCCCTACTTGCAGGGGCCAAGGCTACTTGCTTCTTCACTGATAAATTCCTGAGACACCTGTATTTAACTGTTACAGTAAAGAAATGTAGAAGTGATCAATGTGCATTTTAGCCCCAAGGCATCTATAAGACAAAACTCTTGCTCCAGATTCCTGTTTGATTCCAGAAAAACAATTAAATTGAACCCTGAACCATCCAGAAGATGTTGAAAGATATGCTTTACCTTCCTTTGGTAAAGAATTGGTCACCAAAAATCTGCCACAGGTGGGAACACAAACTCAAGGTTGCAGCCCTCCACATGCCTGCCTTTTGCTCTGCTGCTCTTCCCTCACTTGACAGTTCCTCACTCCACTACTTTTTCATGAAGAGTACAAATGGGAGCGACCCCAACAAGAGAAACCAGGAGAGGCTGAGGCTAAAATACACACAAGCCTGGAATCAGGAGACTTATTTTAACAGTCTCTAATAAATTTGTCTCTAATAAATTCTAATAAATAACAGAAACTAATAAATTTGTGTTTCCAACGTAAATATCTGTCTTAACATATAGCTGAAATACAATGCAGTTTCTTTTTATTTCTGGGCTCTTTCCTTTTCCTTAACATGGCAGTGGCTCACTTGGATTAGGCACCAGACTCAAAGAGTGAGTTCATGAAGAAAGAGAAGCACATAGAGAATCATATACTTCTCTCTTCACTGACTTTGAGGAGTAATCTTGGGCATGTTACTCTGCATTTCCTTCTGGCTGATTTTGGAAGTTCCTTGCTCAACTTCCTGCTTTCTCTGAATGTCACTTTCCAGTG